TGAAAAAATCTGGTTTAAAGAGATGAATTAATCTGATATAATGGACGTAGGGCATTTAATAAGTGAACCTGCTGGCTGACAGTAGGTAGAGACCCCACCGGCTTTCTCTTTATTCTCTCTTCCAGCCAATATTAAAAAAGCCTTAACTCCTCCCCCACCCCATCATTAGAAGCTATAAATTATAGCTGAGAAAATATCGCCTGTTAAATTTTGAGAATCCCCAAACTCAGCTCTATTCATTATGATTTTTGCCTCATTATGCACATTGGCAGCTTATTTCCTGCTTATAATACAAACTTAATGAGATTCAAGGATGGCAGTGACCTCTAGAGCAGCACTTTCTCCTGCAAGATAAAATACACACACAAACCGCAGGCCAGCTCAGTAGGTTGTGTACAGTCAAACACGACTTACAATAAATATTTATGATGCCAGGATTTTGCTTAAAGGTTAATGATTGCATTTTATCTTATATTTGTTGTTATACAATTGAAACAGGTTTTGTTTTTTTTAATGAAGCTAGTCTGAAGCGTTAGAGATTGCAAAGGCAGACAGTTCTCGTTGTCAGTGGGGAAGGGACATACAACCCAAGAGGGCGGCAGCAGCGTGGGATGATTATTCACAAGAAAGGACCAGACCTCAGGGTGCATTTAACTCCCTGCTTTGTCTCTGTGTGTGTGTGTGTATGTGTGTGTGTGTATGCACACACACAGGCACACTATCACATTATTCACTGTTTTGAATCCCTTTTGAAATCTATACAATTAACAGTTTAATTTTTAGCTTTTGTCTTCTTCTTTAAACAAGGCGGGCTCTCCTGGCCTTCCCGTTAATCTTTCTTTATTTAATCCCGTATGCTATTTGCGCTTTCCTCTCATCTGTGAAGCCCAGACAGCAGCTCCTAAATGGTATCGTTTATCTTCAGCATATTTTCCTTTCAGCTTTTGTTCCCTCACCTGCTGGACCTGAGTTTCGGGGGGGTGAGCTGGGCATTGCCGTGGGGACCTGGCCTTCCCACCTGCTATGTCCACCAGCAGCCCAGCGCTGCCCAGGTGGGGGGGTGATGTGCATCACCCCGTGGCTTACCTGGATGGTCTCTGAGGACCAGAGAAGGTTGGCTGGGTGCACGGGTGCTGGGACCACCCATGACCCCCAGAAGCCCAACTCTCCTGCCCTCATCAAGGAGGGTGCAGGAGCTGTTTTACTGCTCAGACTGACAGAGTCTGCTCCCCTTTAAAGCTGGCTTAGAGTTGTTTAATTGTTCTAGAAACATGATAGTAGAATTATTTGACTCCCCGTGATTTATGTTCTTGAGACCTGGAACTGGACTTGAAGAATCCTAATTTTGTTTTCTACAGCGAGCTCTGTAGATACATGTGTATAACTCCATCCATCTATCCACTGTTTTTTTTCAGCAGCTCCCATGTGCCAGGCAATGTTCGAGGGCTGGGGAACTCAAATAAACAAAACAGAGTAAAGACATCTGACTTTACAGGGTTTACATTCTAGTGAGGGAAGAGAGAAAATAATAAATAAATAAATAAACAAACAAACAACCTCCCCCCCCCCAATCTATAAGAAGGTGACAAATGTTTTTGGGGAAAGTAAGGCAGGTTAAGAGGCATCTACAGTGCCAAGGGGTGGAGACTGTGTCCTGTTGAATACTGTGCTCAGGGAAGGTCCCATGAAAAGATGTCATTGGAGCAAAGACTCACAGCCTGGAGCAGCCAGAAGTAAGAGCCTCCCAGAGAGAGGAAAGAGCCAGTGCAAAGGCCCCGTGGCTGGAGGTGCCTGGAGAGTTGGAGAACAGTGAGGCAGGTGCGCCTGGAGCCAAGTGAGGGGAGCGAGAGGAGCAGAGCAGAGCAAAGAAGTGGGTGGGAAAGCAGACCCCACAGGGCCTCCGAAGACTTTGCAAAGACCTGGGCTTCTTATTCTTTATGTAAGGGGGTCATTTGCTGAACAGTGCTAAGCCTTGATGGCAAAAGCAGAATAATAAATCAACTTACCATAGATGGTTTTCGTTAGCACTTGACGGAAGTAAGGCCCACACAGTGGGAAAGGCAGCGGAGACACGGAGCAGGCGCTTGGTGACCAGTGGGCAGACTGACGTGGCCTCTTGTTCCCAGTGCTGTATGGGATTGCTGGGTGTTGACTCCATTGGGACAGACCCTGCACCTGGGGGTGTGTGTGGCCATTGTTCCCAGACCTGGTCTAGTTCATGTCACATAGTCAGGTTCAATCAACACTGGCTAAGTATATCTCATTGTTATACCTTTATTCTAAGGAAGCATTTCAGGTGGTCTGCCGTGGCCGCAGGGGAACCCTGCTCATTGAAATAGAGCCTCTCCCTTCTGCCGTCTCACACAGGGGGTGAGGAAACTTGACAGCCAAGCAGCCATACTGTCTTGGGGGGTGCTCTGGGCTGGAAGTCGGAGCTGTGGCCTATGGCTCTGGCTCTGGCTCATTCACGGTGGTGGTGAGGGTCATCCTGGCCTGCCGCTCCCCAGTGGTGACGTGGTTCAGAACACCCTTCTCGATGTCAGGGTTCTATGAACACACAGGTACTTTCTGGCAACGTACTTTGAAAAGTCTCCCTGATCATTTTACGGGAGCAGAGGGCTGGCATGCCGGGAGCTTTCCGGTGGAAGGCGGATGGACACCTGCGCCTGAAGCCTTCCTGGGGAGGAGATGACTTGGGCGCCTTGGTAATGATAATGACCTCGCCAATGTCTTTAAGTGATTTGCATGTATTTCTGTGCTTGGGTGCTTGCAGTAAAAGTCTTAATTTGTGACAAGTTCAACCTCAGATATTGTTTCAGAAGTTCACTTCAGGAACCTGGCTTTCCATGTCTTCTTTTTTCATTAGTATTGAATTCTTTCTCCTTCCCATCAAATGATTCTTGAGGCAATGCCTTTACATGAAACCTTCCTAAAATCATTCAGAAGTGAGATGAAAATATTGCGACTAAAGAATAGTTCACATCTGCCCTTTATCATGCATTGTTTTCTGAATATCAATGAATCAATCTTCTACTTTTTCAGCACCTTTGTAAAAAACAAAAGGCCCACTGTGCTTTCTGTGTTCCTTGATAGGCTGGGAATAGAGCTGGGATGTGGCAGGTGACATCCCAGCACTCACAGAAATCACATGTCCAGGGGAGAGAAACAAGGGATCATTGTAGATTTTGTAATGTGGGAACTCTTCTTAGAGGAGGTGAAATTTGAGCAGAAAACTTCATGAAATGAGGTAAAGTCCTGTAAAGTCTGGGAGAAAAGCATTCCAGGCAGAGGAGCTGGCAGGTGCAAAGGCCCCGTGGTAGCGATGAGCTTGGCATAGTCCAGAGACAGAAAGAAGGCAAGGAGGGGAGCGCACCAGGGCGGAGGAGCACACCCGGAAAGGGAGGACTTCAGGGGCGAGAAGTCAGAACTGCAGGGCTTTGTCGGCATGGGAAAGGGTTGGGTTTTACTCTGAATGGATAAAGATTGTAAATATTTTCAATGACTTGCAGTTTAAACATACTCTTGAAATACCAAAACATCAGCGCTTTCTGAGATTCTGTGAAATGATGGCAGAGAATTACCAAGGTGATATTTTTCAAGCTTCCTTTTATTCCATCCCAAATCCCTTATTGTCCTTTAAGAAGTTCCCTGGAAATGGAAGAGGCGCGTTGGCAGGAGGGGTGGCTATTTTGCCAGGCACAGTTCTATCTATGTGTGTTTCTGTGTGGACTCATTTCAACAAGAGAAATTGGGGGTCCCATCTCTCTGCAGTCCAGTCTCTAGAGAGTTCTGTTTTTTTTTTTTTTAAAGATTTATTTATGCATACAAGAACTGGGGTCCAGGCCAGAGGTGTGGGGGGTGAGATGATTCACCAGAGACAGAGCGGGGAACAGAACAGGCAGATGTACTGAAATACAAGGGGAGCAGCAGGTGAGACAGGAGAGGTCTGCTGCGCCATGTGGGTAGCTCCCTGACTGGGGATCGAGCTCATACTGCAGGGGCTGCAGATAACTTCATAGGTTGCATCTTAACCCGTTGCTCCCCAGGGAAAGGCCTGTAAGTTCTGTTTTATGGTCAGCCCCGAGAAGCCAGGGGTCCACCGGTAGCAGGCTCATCTTCTCTTCTCACAGGAACAGATGATAATTGAATAAGCGCTGGGAACACGCCTGCGCCTTTGTCTGTCTTGGGAAAAGCGGGTAATCATTTCACATTGTTTTGCAGCGCCTCCCCAAGTAATAACACGTGGTGAGTCAGAGGTCAGCAAGGGACTCGGAGATAAACACTGCCTAGAACATGAACACAGCAAAGGCGTGCTGATGAATTTTTATCTTCCATATCCAGCAAGATCACATTTCCCTGTCATTACCCTTCAAAGCCATGAGTGAAAAATTTTCATCAAATCTACATACCACGCTGCCACCAGCCTCGCTTCTAGGTAGCGGCCTTCACACCAGCTGGTCATCTTAGTGCCTTTCGTTAAATAGCATCACCTTCCCAAAGGTGGCTCATCAGGTGGGAAGAGGGGAGCAGGTGATGCCTCCTTAGGGGAGAGAAACTGACCCGTCGTTCCTGCAGAGGAAACCTTGCAAGGGTTCGGGTGTGAAGGGAGATTCCAGTGTAGACGTTCACCGTGGCCGACTGAGCGGGGGTGTTTTCCTAATCCGCATCTGTGATTGTTTTTTTTTTTAAACTAGTTTGCTCTTAGAAGCGCCTCTAACCAATGTGTTCCTGAAATCAACCTCATTTAGGACTGTGGATTGGAGGGGCCCCTTTCCAACATGCAGGTCTTCGCAGGATGCTCCGTCTCTGTGCAGGGTTAATGTCAGGGTCACCTGGAGAGGCTCCCCCGTCGACCCCCCCAACTTGAGTCGTTAAACCATGTCGGCAGCAGGAACAAGGCGATCATTGGAGCGGAGCGCGGGGACTCAGAGCTAATTTCCCAGGGATGGCTCCGCTTTTCTTACGAGGGAATAATTGACCCATTTATGGTCTTCTTTCAGCTCGTTGTGGATCCTTGTGCCAGCAACCCTTGTCACCATGGCAACTGCAGCAGCCGCCTGGACGACTACCTCTGCATTTGCAATGAAGGCTTCGAAGGTCCCAACTGCGACCAGGCGCTCCCCAACCTCCCAGCCTCGGGCTGGACCGAGTCGCTAGCGCCCAGGCAGCTCCAGCCGGTCCCCGCCACCCAGGAGCCGGACATCATCCTGCCCGGCTCCCAGGCCACCGTGACCCTGCCCACCTGGCAGCCGAAAACAGGGCAGAAAGTGGTAGAAATGAAATGGGATCAAGTGGAGGTGAGGACGTTTTATCGCATGTAATTTTATGGAAGAAACCATTGAGGTTAAATAATTCCAGTGGTTGTAACAGCGGCCATGACAATGAAGACTTTCAGTCACCCTCTGCACACAGTCAGGCCTTTTCCCTTCTGTAGGGAATCTCTCCTGGTTACACAGCCGGGGATTTCCAGTACAGTTGTTCTTGTGTGCAGGAAGGGTGAGCAAGAAAGGAAAAGGGGTGACATTATTTTCTGGAATCATATCCACATACATTTCTGGGAGAGGTGGGGGCAGACAGCAGGGAAGAGCCATCTGAACAAACCTAAGGCTTGTTCTGCCTGCGGGCCACACCTTTCTCTGCCTTCCTTATGGGTTAGTCTCCAGTTTGGGTAGCAGCACCGTGGTGGGGTTTAAAAACAGCCATCACTGACTTGTCAATATACTGAGAATGCATTTGAGAACGACAATTTCAAAATGTATTTATTTTGGCAATAGCAAACTCTCTTGACTATCATCCAGTCTGGATTTGGCCTGTTGTATTTTCAAGCTCCTCAAAAGTCTCATTCTGAGGGTTTTTCAGCAGCTCCATAAAAGTTTGGGAACTAATCGAGCCCACGCATGTGGGATATCAGTAGTGTGGAATGTCATGCCATGTCTCGTGCTTCTAGATGACATCCTTACAGTTGTGTATTAGTATAGGTTTTGTCACATATATGAAATAACACCTAGATCTTGATGTCACATATACTGGAATTAAGCAATGTGCCTAGAAACTTCTCTTCTTGTTATAAAAGAGGAAAGGCAGTATTTCTTCTTGCTAAGGAGAACCAGTTGACCCACTTTTAGTTTTCTGTCCTTGTCACACAATTTCTGAAGGCCACCTTCAGCTAGCAGTGCGGTTAACCTACTAAAATCCATGAGCTTGTTCTGATTTCAGAATTAATAAATGCGTTCAAGTTAGGAGGGTAATGCCTCCTTGCTGAGTGACTTACTTCTTGCATGTGAACTAAATTTGGTTCCACACTTTTGAAGAAAGTATCCTTTAAACAAAATCCTTTCCCCCCACCCCCAGCCATTTCAATCCTTTTATTTAAAGACACGCGTCCTGCAGTGGGTAAGTGTAAAAAATACACGCCTCATCTTCCTGCCAGGCTGTTCTGTCTTAGGCTCTTCAAGAAGCAGGTTAAAAGTGCCAGAATAAGTCACTTGGTTATATGTGGGCTTCCCCGTTTCATGAAATAATGATGCCTTGGAAACAGGGGACTCTGGAGTCCTGGGGGCTAAAATCTATTTAGCCAGTGCGGCGCCCATCGTGTCCTCAGTGGGCATTATCCACAACGGCTCCCCGGCCTCTGGGCAGTGACCACTAAGGCTTGGGGCGGGCTGACAGCTGAGGATTTCTGTATTCCCAGTTCATTCGGTGATGACAAGCACTTTGATCTAGGCTTTGAAGGGTCATGAGGGACACGAGGCATGAGCAGCAAATGAAGGGACTGGTTGGAAGCAGCTGATGGGCACGGCTCAGGTGTTCACAATATGTGCTGATCAGCACAGCCTCCCCCCTCCCCGCTGCCTTTTTTAGTCACATCATGTAACACTTTGGGGAACACGTCACTTCTAAGTAACATTTCCACGGGGAAAGAGAAGGGCAACTATCCAGCTACCGGCCTTGGCATGGGCCCCGAGACCCACCTTGGCCAGAGCAGGCTGCCTGACAGGCCGCTTCCTGCCCACCGCTTTGTAGTGATGCACCTGCCTTTGTCGGCCAGTCCTCAAGGTCACCCCTGTTCGCCAAGCACTTAATCCCTCTTTACCCTTAGACTGAGCTGTGGCCCCGCCTGCGGTTACATGAAGCGAGCAGGGCCTGCGGCCCTCACCTGCACTGTCCCTTCATCCGTTTCGCCATCCAGGGACTGGCAGATCTTCTCAGGGGAGCTTTTGCTTTCAGACATGCTTAGCTTTTATTTTCTTCTGAGTTCTTCAGGTTTCTTTTGTCCTGTCTCTCTCACAACCCAGTGTCATCGATGGGGACAGAGGGGACTCAGCTCATGGGATCCTACAGTGTAACACCACCTTGTGCTGGGATCAACCCTGATCATTTGTCCTTTTCGGTTCCAGGTGATTCCAGATGTTGCCTGTGGGAATTCCAGCTCGAACAGCTCCGCGGGGGGCCGCCTGGTGACCTTTGAGGTGCCACAGAACACCTCTGTCAAGTAAGCAAGTCCCAGGGTAGCAGCTGTTGAGAGCCTCGCCGTGTTTCTGTTCCCGTTCCATACTGTTTTGACGACTACTGTTGTGTAGTATAGTTCGAGCTCAGGTTCAAAAATGGTTCCGCCATTTTCCTTTTCTCTCAGGATTGCTTTAGCTATTTGGGGCCTCTTGTGTTTCTGCACAAATTTAAAGATGAACTAGTGTTTTGGGGGACAAAAGTAGATGGCTCTTAAGGTGATGTTGCTAAGTGAAATAAGTCAGGAAGTGAAAGATGGCTACTGAATGTTTTCATGTATTTGTGGACTATTCATAACCAAAGAAAACAAACTGGCAAAGCTCAGCATAATTAATTCTTAGACTGAAAAACATACCGGTTACCAGAGGGAGAGAGGGCGGGGAGGAGCATAGGGGCAGGGAGGAGGTGAGACATTGGCATGGGATTCTGGTGGAGGGTGAGTGAAGCATGTATACATATGGAGGTATGAAATTGCACCCACAAAATGATACACTTATGTAAATGACTGCCAATTTAATAAATTTTGTGAGGAAGAAAGGGTTGTGGCGTTACGCTGGGTTATCTACCCCTGGAAGCGGCCTTTAGCTGATCAGTCAGAGAGAATGATGGGTGGAGTTCTGTGTGCAGACAAGGAAGGCCTACATCCCTCAGAAGCTGGGGAGGCCATTTCTGAGACTATTCCAGTGGAGACCCGGGCGGCTGGGGAAGCGGAGCTGTGGGAATGAGGCTGGTCTGGGTAGCGCCAGTGTGAGGTAAGAAAGGCTGATGCCTTAGAGAAGATCCAGGGAGCCTCTCAGATCGAATGGCTTTGCTTCCAAAATTTCTTGGCCTCTTAAAATTGGGATGGACCATTGGTTGAATTCATATGCACAATTCCCCCCAATTTAAAATCCAAACATTTTATCTTTAAAAACAAGCAGCTGGGAAGAGAGTGTTTTGATTTGTTTTATTCTTAAACTCTTTCAAGTTACATCTTGTCCATTGTCACCAGGGGGGTTGGGGAAGAGACATGTGTGGGGGAGCAAACTGGATGAACACCTGCTGGGGGGTCAGGTGCTTTGGGTTGCTGGGGAGACGGGTGCAAGGGAGTGAGGGTACAAGGTGGGGTGTCCCCACCTTGCAACGGAATATCCTTGCTGGCCAGTCTTTGGCGGGTGTTAGAAGACTGGGGAGCAACAGGGCCCTCGTTCACCAGCCTGCCGTGCTGGCTGGCTCTAAAGGGGGCAGTGGGTCCTATCAACTGTCCCCCATCAATGCAGGCTATTTTTGCCCTTCTTGCCTTCCGAAAAACTGAGTCCCTGAAAAATGTTTGGAAGGGGGTCTTTGCTGCATTGGCCCTGCATCCCCTCCCCCCAGCCTCGACCTCACTCAGGAGGGGAAGAGCCTAATGGGCTGTGCCTGAGGGAAGAAGTTCCAAGAAAGGTGTGGCTGGGTGGCAGCTTCATGTTCTACCAGCAGGGGGACCCCGGTCCTAAGCGTTTCCTCGCTCAGCTCACAGATGAACCCCCACCTTCCAGAGCGGGGGTTTTGAAAATAGGGATCTTAGTTTCCTGCCAGCCCTTCCTGGTCTAGGTCACACCCTCTTACGCTCATAAGCCTTTCCGAACAGTTCCTACCTTCTGTCCCTTTACTGTTTTAGTTTCTGTTTCTCCACAAACCCCACAATCTCCAGACCCTCTGAGGCTGCAGAGCTGGACAGAAAGAGCCGTCCAGCCAGTGCTGGCGAGCGGGAGAGCCGAGTGGGGTGGGCGCCTGGTTGCCCGGCACCTGCTGTGCCCTTTATTCACGAGCCCGTCTCTTTTGAAGCCCATGTGAGCAGCCTGCTACACCTGGTGCTCTGTGTGGGGGCAACTGTGTTCTTCTGGAAGCTTCCATTCCCCGGGGCACAGAGGAAGGAATGGCAGCAGGGAAGGTCTCTGGCTGAGCCCTAATAAGGATGCTTCCCAGGTGGAGAAGGCAGAGGCTGGGAGATGGGGACAGACCTGGTTGGGAAAGAGATGCCCCTTATTCCCGGAGCATCAGGGTGCAAGGATGGAGCTGCAGGGTTGAGGCTGACAGGAAAGGAGGAGGCTGAGGCTGATTTGCCTTCTGAGGCAGCTGTTCTGAGACTTTTATCCAGACCACAGCTCCCTGGTGCATGGCGTGCTGCACCGAGCCAGACAGGACTGTCTTCTGTGGGTGCTGGGGAGTGGGGATGCTGGAAGTGCTGGGGAGGGGGTGCTGAGGGGTGCTGGAGAGTGGGGGTGCAGGGGGTGGAGCCAGTAGTTGAGCCTTCCATACCTGACAACCCTACTGCGTGTCAGTCCTGCTGACAACTCTGTCTGCTGTGGGTAGGAGCCGTGTCCCTCCCGCTCTTCATCAGTGAGTCAGATGGCTGCCCAGAGCTGAGTGTCTCTCAGTGTTTGGGGGGGCATGTTGTGAACAAGTGGGGGACAGAGGGCAAATGGCAGCAGTGTGGCAGAGAGGGCGCCTTCGCTGCCAGGCCTTGTGGGTGGACGGCGCCTGTGTTTTCATTTTCCATTTGCTGGGCTGAATTTTTCTGCTGACATGGCTCCTGTTTTCAGGATCCGGCAAGACGCCGCCGCCTCGCTGATCCTGCTGTGGAAGGTCACGGCCACGGGGTTCCAGCAGTGCTCCCTCATCGACGGCCGGAGCGTGACCCTCCTGCAGGCCCCCGGGGGGCTGGTGCTCCTGGAGGAGATGCTGGCCTTGGGGCACAACCACTTTATCGGTGAGCGCGGGGCCTTTACCCACTTGGCTTGGCGTTTACGGGCCGCGGGTGGGAATCGCGTCCAGCTTATCGAGCTCCGGCCATGGGCACTATGTCTGGTGAGGATCTGCTGGCAGTCAGAACTGCTTCCCAAGGTGTCACTCGCCGTGTGGCTGAGTGGAGACCGTGGGCTCGGCCCTGAGCTGCCCCCGGCCCTGGACGCGGCTACGCCGGCCTGTGGTCTTGGGCACGGGATGCTCTGAATGTCACGGGATGTTACTTTTTGACTCTCTAGTCCATTTTCTCCAGGAATTGTGGACAAGCGGAGGCACTGAATGCTGGTCCCTCAGAAGAACCCTGTTCTCACTCACTGTAGGCCTTCCCCAGGGCCCCCCAGCCAGTGATTTCCCACGTGAGAGCCTCCAAGGCAGAAGCTGCTTGGAGACCACGACCCTCGTGGGGATTCCTCTTCCCACCCACCCACCCATCCACCCTCACCCTCTCCTCCAAGGGTCACTCTGCCCTTTTACTCTTTGTCAGCTAACTGCTTCAGACCTCTCTGCCCTGGAAGAGAGAAGCACCCCCAGCCCCGCCCCCCTCCACTCAGGCTCGCCCCTTGAGTCCAGCGCCCGCCTTGCCAGGTCGGTCGTCCCCTGGGTTGTCTCCATCCCTCACCGAGCATGACGTGCCTTTGCAGGCGAACCTTGGAGCTCTGCCCCGGCCTCTTTATTGGCTTGTTGCTTCTCAAAGTCTCAGCTCAGAGACGCGAGCTCAAGGTTTGCAGCCCCCACCCCGGCCAGTGCACCTGAGACCCCACCTTGCTCCCTGCTCTTGACACTGTCTCCTGCTCAGTCACATATTCCACGGGTCCTCAGGCAGCGTGTGTCTCTTGGAGGGGGCTGGGAAGGTCAGATAAGATGGAGGATGTGAAAGTATAGATCATAAAGATTAGGGGTGATTCTAGTGTGCTTTCTCTACTTTCTTCTGAGATATGGTAAGTAATTTGCTAAGATATATGGAAAATATACAATAAGACTTATTCTCCAGTGTATATATATATAAATATAACAATAAAATGAATGACTCAGCTTGGTATATTTCGTATTGCACTTTACAGTTGATGAGAAGGTCTTTTCCCAGTCCTTGCAAATCCTACTTTGGAGGAGGGGGTGTGGAACAGGCATGTTGTTGGGTAGACAGAAGAAGGTAAGGAGATGTGAGCTTGGGAAATGGACTTGTTGGGAAAGAAGGGACGGGTTTTGAACTATAGGCTGGGGTTTGACTATTAAGATGGATGTTAGATCGGCACAGCAGACCTCTCCTGCCTCGCCCGACCCCCACCCTCGCCCCTCAGCAGTGTATTCAGTAGATCCGCCTGTTCTGTTCTGCTCCCTACTCTGTCTCTGGTGAATCCTCTCACTCCCCCCCACCTCTGGCCTATATCCCAGCTCTTGTGTGCATAAATAAATCTTTAAAAAAATGGCAAAAAAAAGATGGATATTGGATCATGACAGCGTTTGTGTGATGTAGTATAGTCAAGAGTCAAATCTAAATTTTATTCCATACTCTATTCCAAGCAATTGTGATTTGCTTCTGGGCTTGTGTTAGCATTGTTTCTAAAAGGAAACGGCTTGTTTATTTTGACAAATAGTTTCAATTTTATTTTATATGGGTCTTATGATTTTCTAGATTAACCTGCCTTTCTATGACATGGAGCTAACACTTCAAGAAAATCTCTGAGTTATTTCTACTCTTTAAAATGTCGTCAGAAGAAACCCATGTGAAACATTAGCCTACATTTTATACTACTCTTTAAATGGGGTGGAGAGGGAGGAATAGGGTTGGACATTAATAGAGAAATGTTTTCCAGCATTAATGTGAAATTTTTCTTTTGAGATACAAGGAAACTTGAATTCCAATGCAATTCAAACTCATTTTGTTAACAAAAAATTATGGAAATTATTTATCTTTGCTTGAAATATGTCACTGTTTGAGCAATAATTAAAATAACCATTGGATGCATTCAGACTAAAATAGGAATTCTTTCCCAAAAGAGACATCTTCGGTGCTGACAAGGTGCCTGATTTGGAGTAGCATGCTTTACTTCTCGAAACTTTTGTTTTCCATTTTGAACATTTATAATCTGCTATCTTTTAAAATTTCCTAAATAGAACTTTCTAAGTGTTCTTGGGGCTTTGTACTAGAGATCACAACCTTCCAGTGTTGTTCTCCTTCAAGGCAGCAGTCGCTCCCGTCTCCAGTTCCTGCTGAGGGATGATGGTAGCTCCTGACGATGATAAATTGGCCACATCCACACATCAGGACCTCTATCAAAATCTTTTTATCTTAAAGAAACAAGTTTTATCTCTCGTGATCGCTGTGAAAGCTTTACGCTTACTACATCGACATGTTTAATGCTCTTTTTGTTAATTTTTTTTCTCGAAAGCAGCTTCTTAAAATAATTGATTTTTATCATACGGAACTCCACAGACATGAATGCGTTTTTGCTAAGAGCCAAAAGTTTATTTTGAAAAGGACAGTAGCATCCCTCTGACAGGTGAGCAAATCCACGCTAGTGCAGAAGGGAGAATGTTCCCCTCAAAGCAGACTAAAGCCCCAGCATTGGCGCCTGGTCCTGTGTAACTACGCCTCATTCATTTGATCATTCACCTGGAAGAAGCTTCTCTCCCTTTCATTGTTATTCCTTCCATCGCTCACAACCAGAGGTGCCAGAGACCTGCTCCGGGGAACAGGGTTGAGGAGAGGAATCCGAAAGAACCAAGAAACGAAGAATTGACAGACATAAAATAGAGTTGAAGAGAAGTGGGTCCCAGGGACACAAGGCTTTTTAGTCCCAGCTCAAGTGTCCCGAGTACCTGGTGCAACTCATTTTTATTGATACAAACCGGTCCCCTCCTCCTTGCTAGTTGCTAGACAATGAATCATTCTTAGTATTTAGCCTGGTCTGGGCACACATTCACCGCCAAGGTTCTGGGGTATCAGGTATATTCTACTCCCTTTTTAATCTTGCCTGTTTCTCAGGCTTAGCTTTGCTGACACAGGAAAGGGCACTGTGGTCTGGACACGGGCCCGTCTTGCAGCCTGTGTCGGCCAGTCTTTCAGTCACCACCCTGACATTCTCCTGTCTCAGCACCTCACGCCTTAGGGGTCTCCAACATAAAGGTATTTTAAAATCTCTCTGCCACCGAGCAGAGGGCATGCTTCTTTGTCTTTAGAAGGCAAATTTGGCGGCTGTCCCCAGGGTCACACAGTCTTTTAAAAAATTCATTGCCGCGTGCCTGGTGTTCATGGTCTACGCATTCCAGATAATGACCTATTTCAGTGCCACCACATTGAATTTTTTTTATGGTTTCCTTCATTCCCAGCGCCTTCTGAATAATCACACTGCTTCATGGAGAGGAGAGGCTGGAGGGACATCCTACAGCCTGCTGCTCTTCTGTGCCTCGGCAGGAGCTGTCTCTCTCCTGCCCCCAAATTTCAGCTCTTCTGCCCTCTCCTTAATTATTCCCTCTGTTTCTTCTAAATATGTTTCTTGCAAATATGTTAGTTGCTTTATGCACTGTTTTGGGGTAAATAGCTAACTTGCCCTTTGTTTAGCCTTGTGTGCTCCATGGGGAGCATTGGAGGTGCTCATTAGCTCCCTGAGTGATTTGTTGCTCCAGCTGCGTTTCCTTGAAACTGTCTTCACTGGGCTTATTTGTTTTTGACTTGGCATTGCTTGGAGGCACCGTGTGATGGACCATTTCTGGGGCGAGGCTGTGCTGGCCGTCTGGTGTGTGCTAGAAGGCTCTAGGTGAACCCCCTTGGGCTCCTTCCCTAGGCTTTTATTTCTTCTTGTCCATTACCCTTGGGTGTATTTCTTGTTGCTTCTTCATGGTGGACCCACTGTCCCATCCCCATCTGGAACCACCCCCCGCCCCCATTCTCTCTAAGCCTAATAAGTCCCTTAAATCTAGTCTTTAAGACCTCATTTAAATTTTTATTTGGAGTGGTTTTGGAGAAAAATGAGCAGCCAAAGATTCTGCTCTATGTGGATTCTCAAAGCTCCTCTAAGGCTTATACATTCTGATGCATACACAGACAGCCCGAGAAGGGGCTCGTGGGGATTCTCTTTAGATCAGGACGGCGGGGGACTGGGGTGGGGTAGATGGCAGGGAGGGGTATGATTGTAGACATTCATGCCTCTGGTCTTTGCACTTGCTCAGACAAGTCTTGCTTTTCCCCTGACACCTTCCATGGCCCATATTTGTTGTGGTTCTGTATGGTGCTTTAGCGCTTCTCTCTCCTTTGACATTATTTTCACTTTGATTCAGCTGGTCCTCTCTATTCTCTCTTTCCAGGGCTCAGCTGCCTATATGTGCCTTTTCTTCTTCCCTTATTCTACTGCCCACTACCCACCATTTTTCATATTATTTTTCCCATATTTGTATCATTCTTAGAGTTTTTAGTACATTTGTAGGTCTAATTATATCATAAAAATAACTGAATTTTTGTGTTTAAACCAGATCAATGGTGGTTCATCTATGATCTACTGAAAAGCTGTCTTATACCTTCATAGATCCGCCTCAGCTTCTCAGAATCAATGTTGTATCCGTGACCCATAGGGATGTCCTTGTACGGGCCGGGATCATGTCAGGATCACAGCTGCTGGATTAGCCACAGAGCCCTGGGAACAACTTCGAGGTCTCCATAGCCCATGTGGTAACTGGATCCAAAACTTCCCCAGGGGCCTCCCCGGTGGCGCAGCGGTTGAGCGCTGGGTTGCGAAGCTGCCCGCAGCGTCTGCGGCGCCGGTTCGATCCCCCGGCTGCTCCCCGGCCACCAGAGGAGGGTCCCACATGGCGCGCAGACCTCTCCTGCCGCCCGCTGCTCCCCTCAGCAGTGTACTTCGGTCCTTCTGCCTGCTCTGCTCCCCGCTCTGGCTCTGGTGAATTCTCTCACCCTCCCGTGCTTCTGACTGTATCCAGTGCATGTATAAACAAAAAACAAACAAACAAATA